CGCCAGGTTCCTGAGAGGCACGAGGAGACTAAAACCCTCTATACCCTCTTGGGACTTATCTCTGGTGCTGACGGCACTGCAAAGACCTCCCTTTGAGCCATTGCAGGCATCCTCGTCCCGGATATGTGCCCAAGGTTCCTACCATTCCCTTTCGGGACCAGATGGTGAACCTGCAAGCGCTGCCCCTGGAGGAGGCAGTCCCAGCCCTGTCTTTTCTCTGTCCCGACCGCGCTCTACGGCTGTACGTGGATAGAACGCAAAGCCTCAGGACCTCAGACCAGCTCTTTGTCTGTTACAGAGGCCAGCAGAAGGGAATGGCTGTCTCCAAGCAGAGGTTGGCCCACTGGATAGTGAATGCCATCGTCTTAGCGTACCAATCCCATAGAATTCTCATAGAAGCCAGTCAACACCGCAGTGACCGCTCGAAGTGTCGGCTTGCTGCGCCATTCCCCTCCTATGGATTGGATATGTGCGCCATTCTTGCTCCAGTTGAGTTTCCCATTGCCGAACCCTGTTGAGTTCCTCCACACCCCTCGGCAGTCGGACATGACGGAGCGTCCGACGCCAGGCCTACAACTTGTATGCATTGGTCGAACTTGTGGCTGGCTGGGTCCCATACTGTATGTTGTGATCCCTACAGTGATCCCATATGCAATGTTCCCTCTAATTTTTTTTCTTGCTGAGCAAAACTTTTTTCTATTGGGCGGACATTTTTCGCCACCTGAGCAAAAATATTCTTTATACCTAACCTGTACAGCATACGTAGAAACACAATGGTTTCAACATTCAGTTGTAACTTTTAACTTGAATGTGCCATTTCTATGTTATTTGACCCTTGATGTAACTTATTGGTATTAAATCATATTTTCGAAAAACAAGCTTCTTAACAAATTAAGAAGTCACTAAATGAAGCACATTTTAGGTTACCTGATTTTTTTTTTTTTTTACAGGGCTGTTAACTGTACAGTCTTTACCAAGAAATCCTATGAAAAATAATTTGCAAAATCTTCTGCAGGACAGTTCAATTCTTTACAATAATAGAATATAGTATGGAAGAAAATTAAGCTGTTACACTGAGATGGTTTGGGAAAACCATAAAGTGTTTTTGTACAGTGAATTAATTGTGTACAGGAAGCATTAAATCATCAAAGTTAAATGATTGTTTATTGCTTATGAATTTCCAATATTTTCTTTAGCAGGGGGTTTCAAACCTTTTAATGGCAAGGAGCCCTAAACAATACCCTTGTGAGATTCTTTATTTAGGATTATAATATAATAAAATATAGGCCTAATATAATATAATATAAAAAAACGAATTCAAGTATTTGAAGTGATATAATATATCAGTTTAAATGCTTCAATTTGTTTACATATTATATTATTTTAATATGAAAACAAACTGAAGCATTTAAATAGATCTAGCTAAATATTTTCAAGAAAAGTGAATGTGAACTCTTTTATAATCTAACCATGCCTGAAACTCCCCCACACACAAAAACATCTATTTAAACTAATGTATTTTGAGTTTGCACGCGGGTGGGTGTGTAATTGTTACCGTTCTGTGTTCATCAACCGTTATTTCCACCACTTTAATCAAACCACTCTTCTTTAAAACATGATGATGTGATTTTATTGCACGTCTATGAGTTTATCGTTGCCTCTCGTATTGAGCTATTTGGTCCGCACACACGACTCACTGCCAATCACACGCGCTCACATCATCTTTCTATGAAACCTGTAAACTGCATTCACCAGTTTTCACTCTATAGCGGTTGACCAGAGCACTGCAATTATTTCTCACTTAAACTAAAATCAAATGGATTTCCCCACACATTTCGCGTCAGTCATCTGCGTGGCATTTTATTCTTTTCTGCGCACCGCCGCTTCAGAAGTGCGCGGCCGAGGCATCAGAAGTGCGCGGCCGCGCACGCGCGCAGCTTAGAGGGAACATTGCCCATATGTGTATTCTGCTTAGGCCGGAGCCACCTCAGTGACATTCCATATGTTGTACTGCCTGGAAACGGCCAGTCCATATGTGCCTCCACATGATACCTCCCTATGGAGGAGCACTTAAAGGGCACGCTTTCCCAGTGTTATCCAAGTCTGTCTGAGTGGGTCATGCGGAACAGCAGTGGACTTCCCTGACTAAGCCATGTCCCATCTCTGCCTCAATAGGCGGGGGGAAGTGGGGGAGGTGGGGGGGCTGGGGGGGGGGGGGGGGGGGTATCAGGAGGCTTTTGCTAGGCACTGGAAGGTGGTAGCACTAGGTGGCGTGTTAATTGGGATCCCAATCAGTACGATACGTCCGACTCATGTCGAACGTGATTGAACTGAAAGGGAAGGTCTCGGTTACATATTTAACCCTTGTTCCCTGAAGGAGGGAACGAAGACGTGAGTGTTAATTGGGATCCCAATCAGTACGATACGCCCGACTCACGTCGAACGTGACCGAACTGAAAGGGAAGGTCTTGGTTACGTATTTAACCCTTGTTCCCTGAAGGGGGGAACGAAGACATGAGTCCCGTCGCCACTATTGCTGGACACTGAACAAATAAATGTTTGAACTGGCGTGTAGCCTCCTTATTCTCAGAACACTCAACTTTAATAAACACCAGCTTAGCTCTCTTTATCACTTCCTTGTGCTTCTTTTACATCCTTGGGTAACTGCTAACTGTATGTTTGATACTACCGCCATCTAGAGGACAATCATAAGAAACACACCTAATCACCACATACCCACATAACCTTTTCTTTAGGAAGAAAAATATAAACTGAAACGCATAAACCAATGGAAACAATGTCACACAATTATCCATTTGAAACTAAACAGAAATTTCAAAGCAACACATTTGTTTAGCACATTTCAAATGTGAGTGGGCAGAGTTATTTACAAATTAAGTCGATCAGGTTTCTTTATTATGCGTGATGATCTTCTTATTATAGGAGAGTCATTTGTTTCTGCAGATTGACCATTGTCCAGGGAAATGGAAGATGATGAAGAAGACTGCCTGCTTGGTGGTGTTCATCTTCAGGTGAGACCAGAACTTCTTCTTCTTTAATGTCAGTCAGTGTTTGGTTCGTTTCTTGCGTCTTAAGAAGACTTCTGCGATTTCTCCTAAGCACCTGCCCATTCTCTGTTCTGACAACATATGATTCACTTCTTCCAAAACAACAGCTTTCTTGTCCCAGCATTTGGTATCTGCCACTCTCACGATGTCATTTTTTGATGACTTTTTTTGATGACATCGATCTTTGAACACTTTCAGCATTTTAGTTAGCTTGTCATAGCTTGTTTTTTGTCTCTTTTGAAGAGCCTTCTTTTTCTGTCTGCGCTGTTCATCGTGTCTCGTTTTGTGTCAATCCTGCAGGGAAGTGTCGTTCTTATCTTGCGATTCATTAAGAGCTCTGCAGGAGATGCACCATGTTCCAGAGGTGTTGCTCGATAGCTCAGAAGAGCTAAATATCGATCTGACTTTCCTTCAGATGCTTTCTTCAACAATTGCTTCACAATGTGCACTCCTTTTTTTGCCTTCCCATTAGATTGATCATGATGGGGACTTGAGGTCACGTGTCTGAAATCATAGTGAGCAGCAAAGTCCTGAAATTCCTTTGAATTGTAACATGGGCTGTTGTCACTCACTACTACCAGAGGAATGCCAAGCCTGGCATAAAATGACTTCATCTGCTGTATCACACATGCACTTGAGGAGTTAGACAGCAGGGCTATTTCTGGAAAACTAGAAAAGTAATCCACTACCAGCAAGTATTCTTTACCATGGAAATGAAACAGATCGGTACCTACTTTCTTCCAAGGATACTGAGGTAAGTCTGTTATGATCATTGGTTCTCTTGCTTGCTTGTTTTGATGTTTCAGACAAACTTCACAAGTACTGACCAGTTTTTCAATGTCAGAATTTATTCCAGGCCAATAGACTGAATCCCTGGATCTCCGTTTGCATTTCTCCATTCCAAGATGTCCCTTGTGTATCCTGGAAAGCATCTCTTTTCTCAGAACTTGTGGAACAACTATTCTGTCCCGTCTCAGAAGAATGCCATTTGCCACACTGAGCTCAGCTCTAACATTGTAGAATTGCGGGCAGGAACTTTTGACCCAGACATTGTTCAGATTTTGAATTACAGCCTGGAGAACTCAGATTGTGTCATCATCCTAGAGGCATAGGTTATCGGTTTCCAGCCGTCAACATCTGCTTGGAGCAAGACTGCGCCTAGACCATCCTTTGACGCATCCATGGAGATTTTGATAGAGGAATCAAAGTAGGTAAGAACTGGTGCTTTTGTCAGTGTTGACTTGAGCAATTTCAATTCATGCTCATGCTTACTTGTCCACTTGAACTAATTTTTATGATTCAAAAGCTCCCTGAGGCTCGCAGTCTTTGCAGAGAGGTTTGGAATGAATTTGCCAATGAAATTTACCTTTCCCATTATCCCCAGCACACCTTTTTTTGTCCCCAGGACTCTGCATGTCCAGAATTGCCTGAATTTTGCTTTTGCCAGGTTCAACACCACATCCAGACAACTTGTCACCTAGAAAGGTCATTTCAGTGACACCAAACAGACATTTGGCTCTGTTTAACTTGAGTCCATATTTCCGAACTCTTTGAAGTAGCTGGAAAAGTCTCTGATTGTGTTCCTGCAATGAGGATCCCCAAACCACTATGTCATTGACATATACACGGACTCCCTCCAGTCCTTCTATGATATGCTCCATGGCACGATGAAAGATTTCTGAGGCTGAAATAATGCCAAAGGGTAGACGAAGGAATGAATACCGTTCAAATGGTGTAGTGAACGTGCAGTACTTGGTACTGTCTTCATGGAGCTTCAATTACCAGAATCCCTGTAAAGCGTCCAACTTGCTGAAATACTGAGCACCAGTCATTTCACTCGTGATCTCCTCACGTTTGGGAATCTGGTAGTGCTCCCTTTTTAAGCTTGCATTCAAGTCTCGAGGATCAATGCATACTCTCAGATCACCACTTTTCACCCAGTCTGTGGGTTCCTCCACTTTCTTAATTACTCCTAGAGTTGTCATCTTATCAAGCTCCTTTTTTAGTTTCTCTTTCAGTGGCGTGGAAACCCTTCTCGGAGCGTGAACTACAGGGTGAGCATCTTCTTTGAGCTGAATTTTGTTAATGAATGGTAGAGCTCCCGCAGTCCCTTGAACACATCATCAAATCTGCGAACAATGTTATCTGTAGTTTCCTGCTGTGTTGCTGTTACACCATGACTATTGATGCAGTACACTCTTTTTACCAGTCCTAATTCATCGCAGGCTTTGTCACCAAGGAGAGACTGAAGATTATCTGGAACTACAACAAAGAGCAGGTGATGAGTTTTGTTCTTGACACATAGGTTTTGAGCGACACAATGTTTCTTTTTATCTGGGGCTTGATTTTCATTTCCTTTATGTCACTTATGCTTATGAGATTGGCCTTCGCTCCTGTATCAAGTTTAAGCAGCACAATGGTTCCATTGACTTGGAGTGACACAATCCATTTGTCTTTAGATACATAGTTCACATCAGAGTCATCTCTTTCATTTTCTTCGCGTGTTTGCTGATTACTTTCTGTGTCACCATCATGCCAACAAAGAAAGTGTCTGACAATTCTATCTCATCCATAACATGCACAAACGTTGATTTGCTTTGTTTTATTCTTTGAAAAACACTGCTTAGCGAAGTGGTTCATGCTTTTGCATTTTGGACATTGCTTTCCATAGCTGGGCATTGTTCGGGCTGATGCTTTGAGCCACATCTTTTACAGCAGAATGAATCTGTGCATGTCTTTGGTACAGCTTTTTGACTCTGCCTTTTCATTTTATGAGTAACAGCGCCAACTACTGGACAGTCAGCACCTGTGGTGCCTTTATCGGTGAAAGTTCTAGAATGCAACAGAGCAAGCTCACTCGCATGACAAAAGGACCTTCTAATGTCAGCTCCGTTTCTCCGAGTAATCTTTCTCTTATTTTCTTGTCATCAATTCCAAAAACAATTTGATCTCTGATCATTGATTCAGCCAAGACTCCGAAGTTGCATGTTTTTGCCTTTAGCTTCAAGTCAGTCAAGAATGAGTCAAAACTTTCTCCCTGAGATTGAGTGCGTGAACGGAACACATACCTTTCATATGTTTAATTTTTTTTGGGTGAGCAGTGCTCGTCAAATTTCTTTATGACCTCATCATATTTTTCTCTGTCCGCAGCGGCCGCAAACGTAAAAGTATTGTATACTTCAATCGCTTGAGGTCCAGCAACTGTCAAGAGCAACGCTATTTTCCTTGAGTCCGACTCACCATCCAGACCAACAGCTTGCATATAGCATGAATTGCTGCTTGAATGTCCACCAACTGTTATCAACACTCCCAGTGAGTTTCAGAGATTCCGGTGGTTTGACAGCATCCATCTTTGTTGTATCACAGGACAGTTCACTCCTGGTACCTTGTAGTGTTTATTGATTAATTAAACACTCTGAACAAATAAATGTTTGAACTGGCGTGTTGCCTCTTTATTCTCAGAACACTCAACTTAAACACCACTTAGCTCTCTCTATCACTTCCTTGTGCTTCTTTTACATCCTTGGGTAACTGCTAACTGTATGTTTGATACTACCGCCATCTAGAGGACAATCATAAGAAACACACCTAATCACCACAGTGTACAGAAATTACTTATTTCATTTATTTACAAATTTTAAGTGACATTTAAAAAAATAATCTATAGAAAAATTGATTCATTTATCAATTTTCAATTACATCAATTTTATTTCTCAACTATTCTCTCAAGAATAGAAAACAGTCTGTCCATTCTCTCCCTGCTCTCTTGTGATCTCCTCTCCTCTGTCTCACTGAAACTTCATGTCCTTCCTAATTAGCTCGATTAGCTCATCCTCTCTGCCTCTTTTTCTCTTGGCTGGTGCTGGACAAACCACGGCCAAGTTGAACCTGTGGGTTTCTCACTCACCCCCTCAACTGGCCCAAGACACTTAAAATCCCAAGACAGTGCAAATAAACCATGGATGTTGTTAACAACAACAACAGCAGAAGCACAATAAATTTAAGCAAAGATGTCTCAATTAACTTAATGCAGTGTCCGAATTGGAACACAAGTGTTAATTGTTAAATTAACAATTAGCTTACTTTTTTTTAAGTAATCCCATTTTTTTTTGGCCTGCAAGGCCAAGGGAGTGACCTTCCCCAGCAAGCCCATTTTCTCCAGAATTGTCTTAAAACAACAGGAAAAAGAAAACACTTAAAAAATATTAAGACAGGGGTGCGATCATAGAAAATATGACAAAGCAGTACATGCATACAAAATACTCCAGAAAAAAATCATATTTCTAAATCTTTCAATTTGGTGAAAACATTTACATATCTTGCATGACAGCACAAAAAAAGTAGGTACGGCGTGGCCTACGCATAGGTGTGTACCATACACGCCATTTCCGGCGTGTTCTTCTGCGCCGCCCGCCATTTGGCATAAGTTTAGTTAAAGGGTCACTTCACCCATTTCAACATTAATCTTTATTGAAAGTGGGTCATATATGTAGTCGAAATGTAAAAGAAATTTTGAATTTGGTGCCCTCTTGACCGAGAAAAGACAGAAAATAACTTTTGGGCGCATTTGTATGTAAGACAACAACTCCCACAATGCACCACATTGCACAGCTCCGCAAGCCACTCCCACTAATCCAGAACAGCGCAAACATCAGAGAAAAGAAATCACTCTTCCGTCTACAAGGCTAGCTGCCAAAAGAGTTTGAAATTCATTTCACACAAAATGTCTAGTTAGTTGGCTGTGGCGAGCAGGACGAGGGCGAGGGACGTAAGAGGATGGCGCGAGGCCGGTGGCGTGAGTGATAATGAATGACACCTGTGAGACGCAGCGGTCTCATATCTCTCACGGAGGAGCGGAGGCATAAAAGGAACAGGCCTGATTTTATGTTTTGTTTTGTTTCTGTTGTGTGTGGCCAGCTGGCTTATACTTTTGTTTTGTATTTGTTTATTTTACTATTAAAATGTTTAAATGTTCGCCGGTTTCCGCCTCCTTCTTCCCACAACAACGAACCCGTTACATTGGCAAACTCATTAGTGAATTACTCCTCGTTTGTATTTCTTTCTATATGGTGAATTATTGCATGATACCTGGATGCTCAGTCAGAACATATGCGGTGCGAAACTAGGATGGTTCACATCACAACACAAACGTCCGTGTGCTCGTCTGATTCAGAGATTTTGTCCAGGAGAAATTGCCATCGTTGGAATTCTCTGCAGCAGACGGACTCTATCTGTGTCCGTAGCGCACAGCGAGAGCACAGGCACCAGCAGTCCGCCCAGCTCGAGCCAGTCCGGGCTCCTCGTCCACGACAGGCAGGTCTTCTGACTCGGCTGCAGAAGCCGCCGCCGCAGCAGCCGCCTCCTGTTCTTCCATCAGCCTCAGCTGCTCTTCACTATATTGCGGCTCGTAAAAATAGCCACGAACATCGGATTCGAGCAGCAGAATTTCAAAATCCTATTCTTCCATATCATGTTTAGTTTCTTCCGTCATTGTCGTAACTTCCTATCTCCACAGCGCTTGTTAGCTTAGCTTATAAACAAGATGGCTGATATTGATTTCAGTATCTGCAAGTGAAGTCCCACCCACTGATCTGTGATAGCTCTGTTAGCGCATTAGGTCCAACCCCCTATGGGCGGGTTTGAAAGGGTGGGAACTAGTGCTGTAGTCTTTACAGAAATCCCCCCCTCTTACACTTCCTCCTACAATGACGTAAAATGACGATTTTTGCGTCATTGTAGGAGGAAGTGAAAAAGGTAAATAGTGGATTTCTCTCATCTCAGGGGAAAATGAGAGAGTGTTGCACGACCATTCAATAGTATGACTGGGTTTCTAACAATGGAAAGCTTAATGCAAATGGGTGAAGTGTCCTTTAAGAACATGGCGAACATGGACATGGACCAAGTGACCGAGCGATTGATTGAAAAGGTGTGGAAATACAGGCATCTGTATGACTCCTCTTCAGCTGAATACAAAGACTGCCAGATGGCAGCGAATTCGCGGAGAGAGATTTCCTTCAACGTCGGTTTGGTATGTCGAATGTATCAAGCGATGGAAGAACTCCAGGGACAAGTAAGTTCGGGGATTCGGGTGGGAAAAAAGTCCCGGCATTTTATTTATTTCTGTCTTGGCTGGCACACCATGAACACCGACTTACGGAGTCAAACTTTGACAATATGGGAAATAATGCATGTCCTTTGTGAACCTCTGTTTTGTGTTTAGGCTAGCTAACTAGTAATGCTATCACACCGAAATGGCATATTGATTTGTGCAAAAATAAAATTTCTGTGAAAAAGCATGTACGTATTTGTAATAGGTTGTAATTATATCTGGCTTACAGATAATACAAACGCAACAACGTAGCGATTGCAATGTAGGAATATGCAGTATTCATAGCTCTGTCTATCTGTGAATAAACACTGAATGCATCAGCTGTATAATAGACTAATACTATTTGTTATTTCTTTCATAATCACAGGATAGCAGCGATGCAAGCTCAAACTCTTCAACATCCACTGCTTCGGCTGTTGTGAGATCTCCAGCCAAAAACTACAATGAACATCAACAAGTAGCCCCTATCACCAGCCAAGTCCTCCGTCCCTCCAGCAATCTCTTCCGTCCCCCAGCCCAAGGATGGCACAGAACAGGAAGAGGAAGGAACAAGATGACTGGATTCCAAATGCAGGCTGCTTGGTTGGAGGCTCAGTTGGAGGAACGGCTGCGAAGGGTCCATCTTGTTCCACTCCAAATTTTAATGCCCTTCATTCGCTAACTTCCCTCTGTCCCGTGGACTCGATTGTCTGTCATGCTTATGTTGCACGAGTGCCTACTACTGGCGGAACTCGTGCATACAGTTTAAATGAAACACACTTGAAAAGTCCTTGATCACTTGGAATTCACTATGGAGCTGATTGATTTTATTTAAAGGGTTAGTTCGCCCATTTAAGACATGAAGTTGTATGCAATCCTTACCAGCACTATAGTGCATACACACTGACCCACTCTGTTGTCACCTACCTGGTCAGAGTTCTGGCCGCTGGAAGTTTTTCAATAAAGTACTGCCGGTTATTTTCCGGTGCCACAAAACTGTGCGTTTTTACGTGAAAAAATTATTTGCGTTTCAAAGCTTGATTAATTTACCACACAAAAAACACGCCGGTCAAAATTCATACCTCAGTTTTAATCGGCACTATTTTCTATCCATTTCTATCAATCCGCGCTGCTGTTCCATAGTGTTTACACAATCGATTGACAACGACGTAAAAAGTATTAAATTAACAATGATGCGAACTTGTAAATTCCCAGGCTGTGACCACAAGGATGTGCCGGGATCAAAGTTCAGATTCCATCGTTTTCCTGTTTCGAATATAACTATGAGACAGCTTACCGAGCATAATCTCCATCTGCTGTTAGTCGACCGCACCAGCAGGGGGTGCAAGCGCGTGTTGTTGATTTGGCTGGTTGCCATCGGCTACTCTGCGGGAGCTAAAATATCCAAAATAAAGGATTTTTGCGTGTGTAGTGCTCACTTCAGCGAAGACGATTACATCCCCAATCAAGGAGGAAAAGGAAAATTAAAGAGTTTTGCTGTACCAGTACCACTATTTACTAACTTTATGATCCCATGTCTAAACTGTACGGTAAACAAGCTGATGTTTAGACTCCATTATAAAACACGTGAAAAGATGTCTAATATAAAAACAGCTAGGGATATTGGTACAATTTGCTGAGAAAAATATTTGATTGAACACACTCACAATTGAGGTTTTGTGTTGCAATCAATAACATTGTCGTTGTGCTAAAATTACTTTCATCATCTGATCCGTCTGGCATTGTGCTAAAATTGGTTTCATCATCAGAAGTTTCGCAGTCAGACATGGGGTGCTTCTCATTTCTTATTTGTGCATCCTCGTTTCCTTTCCTCGCTTCCTTTCCTCGCGTCTCAGCTCCACCCCCTGTAGGACGCGAGGGAAGGCTGCAAGGAAAAAAAATGAGGACGGAGGAATTGAATGAAAGCTTTTTTATACATTGGAATACTTGATCACTCGAACGTCACTTCACTGCGTCATCAGCAGCGCTCAAAGGATCTGCCCTTATGTTGTTAAAGTTTGTTTATTTAAGAAATTAATAATAAATAATAATAAAGCAAGATACCTTGTTGAAATATGTGAGTTGTGTGGTTTATGTAAACTACAAAAGTAAAGTATAAATTCAAATGATTGTGACAGATGTGATGGGGGAGGAGAATTGATACGTGCGTCATGTTTAGTCGATAAAACTCTTCCGCAAAGGGTACACCTGTGTATCCTCGCTCATGACTCCTCTGGAAGCCTCCTCACTCCTCGATCCTCGCCTCCTCGCGGTGCAATTAGAGAATTGAGATGTCCTTCAAGATGGCTGAGCTCGATCGGTTTCCGGGTCATAGGATGGAGGACGGAGGAGCGAGGAGACGATGAGGGATATTGAGAAGCACCCATGTTGTCAGCGAGTCGCGCTATGCACTGTTGACGTTGACACCAGAGCGGATTGATAGAAATGGATAGAAAATAGGGCCGATTAAAACTGAGGTATGAATTTTGACCGGCGTGTTTTTTGTGTGGTAAATTAATCAAGCTTTGAAACGCAAATAATTTTTTCACGTAAAAACGCACAGTTTTGTGGCACCGGAAAATAACCGGGAGTACTTTATTGAAAAACTTCCAGCGGCCAGAACTCTGACCAGGGAGGTGACAACAGAGTGGGTCAGTGTGTATGCACTATAGTGCTGGTAAGGATTGCATACAACTTCATGTCTTAAATGGGCGAACTAACCCTTTAAACCCCTTTTACTTATGAATTTGTTTTATGCACCATATAAGTTGTTGGAGAAAAATATATAAAATCCTATGATATGAGCTCTTGGAGAAAAAATTAATAGGCTTAATAGATTCAGGTATTTTGTATGTGCTTCATGAATTTTTTTGCGGTTTTACTCAAGATAACTTAAAAGGAGCAAGCAAAAATGAGCATAACCAATGTCCCTCGCATGTGCAGATTGATATTTAAAAGTTTTGTAATTTTTCTTCTTCACACTAACATTTAGATATTTAAATAGCATAAAACACCAATAACAAAGTGAACTTAGTAGGTTAGCTGATTACCTTAAAAATCCATAGATATCGTAGTTAGTTCTTACGGCCGTTAACACTTTCTCTGACAAGCGGATGCAATGAGACCCGTTTTCCGGTTTGGTCACGTGACGCTTGGCATAAAGCCTATTACACAAGCATAAAAAAAATCAATAGTATAAACTTTGACTGTGAACATAATAGCTACAAGTATTATAGGCTACAAGTAGGCTAATTAATATATTATACACTATTATGCGATTAATTATCAAAATAGTTAATATATATACACTTCAGGAAAGCGTGATCTGCTGTGATGTCACAATCAAGTTTAATTGTCAGCGTGTTAATAAACACTGTTTATTCAGAGTTGAATAAATCACAGCGTGTTTTCAGTCCCGTGGGTTTGCAATGCATGCTGGTAAATGTAGTCAACAAAGGCGTCAAAATGGTGGATTTTCAACCTCCTCCTTTCAGAACCTTGGACGATTTTCTGCTGGGTTCGGCTCGATTGTCTGTGCCTGATGTTCGTAACTTGGATCGGTGGAATAACCGAATCATTAACAACCTTCTGTATTACCAGTCGAACTATTTTGCTTTCGCCGCGGCATTTTTGGTTATAGTCGGGTAAGGAAACACCAGTGACGTGTAACGGTATTCATTCAGACCTATTCACTCTTCTTTTAAAACCCTTAACCCCATTTGTGTTTTGTTATGTTCTGTATTGAATGCGTTTAAAAAAAAAAAAAAAAAAAAATCTCAAATGAATCAATTTGTAGTGTGACCTAAATTAAAAAAGGGTTAGGCCAACATTCACTTCTCTTTTGATCTGATAACGATAATGTGTCATGGCTTAGACAGGTTTATTAAGACGTTGTTTTGTTGGTATCACCAAGACAGTTATAAAGCAGTAATCAGATGTTTTCAAACAGCTCTCATATAACCTACTCACTCATGCCAGGTCAAAATAAATATCCCTTTCCTTTCAGTGGCCCATAGTTTCATCACTTTCTTCACTTTACCAACATTTCTCTTTTAGTTTAACTTGATGTACTAAAATAACTAAAACTGACATAATATATATATAGGCTATATAGACATAGGTCTATTAAAACACAAAATACGAAATATTTATCTCAAATTAAAATAAATAAAAAAATCGTAATAGTATACTACAATAACAGTTTATTTTGTGTTTGTGTGTATAATTGTGCCATAGATATTTCCAACCACTCCAGCTGATCCTTGGGGCAACAATTGTGATCCTTCTGTTTTGGGGGTTTGTCTGGGCAGCTGAAAACAAGGCGGTAATCCGACGATTCCGGAGGAATCATCCATCGCTCTCCCTGGCTGCAATTTTGGGCTCCAGCTACCTTCTTCTGTCTGTTTTGGGAGGAGTAGCTGTTTTCCTCTTTGGCATTGCCTTCCCCATATTAAGTTAGTATTCTTTGTTGCCTACGTCTTTTTTTTTCTAACACTTAAAAGTAGTATCACATTAGTGCATTGAAATATTTTGAGTTGTTTTTGTTCTTTTAATACTTTGTATGTACACGTGAATTAATTGTTAGCTTGAGCAATGTGTATTTGTATTATCTTGCCGTATCACGCTGTGACAGTCCCCTCTGATGCTTTCTCCTCGCAGTGATCTTACTTCATGCTTCAGTAAGACTCAGAAGCCTTAAGAACAAACTAGAGAATAAGTTGGAGAGTATAGGATTGAAGAGGACACCCATGGGCCTGCTACTGGAAGCGCTGGGACAGGAACAAGAGGCTGGATCATAGCTGTGCTAACTATTAACTAACTGTGCTATCGCTCACCCCTTCTGTCCTATGAGCTTCTTACATGTCCTTAAAATATGTATGAAAACAGATATTGGCAAAAAATATATGGCATTTGCTAAAGTCTCTCAGATATGCAAGAAGGGCCCAATGGACAGGATTAGATTTTATGATGTAGTTTATGAAAGATCGCAAAAAGTAAGATAACAGGATCAGGTGTTAATAACTATGTATTAGGTGTCCAAAAAAAATAAGGCAATATAATGCCTTGTAAATAGGGTGTAGGTTAAGAGTTATTAAATTTACATGTATTATTTGAGTAACCGTCCGTTATTGCTTCATTCTATGGATTGAATTGTTCCAACACGTTTATTCTGTCCCTAAATATGTTTTCTATGATGCAATCGGCCTACAAATGAGGCCTTCGAAGGATGCTGCCCCAAATGGCTAACTTCATGTGCACTTTCAGTCTTATAATGGCTGCTGTGTGCTGTGTCTGTTAAGTCCATGAGAACGTGATAACCATGAGATAGCACAGGAACGTCTGTAAGATGTCTGCTAAAGATCTGGAGATCTGGAAAATATCTCCTGTGTACATCTGATAAACAACTTAGAAAGAGCAGTTTTACATACATTCTAAACCATACACATCTTACAGACATCTCCTAGATGTCTATATGACATCTGACAGGAGACGTCTCAGAGATGTATTACAGATGTGCAATACATCTCTGTATGAAAATCTATTTGAGTAACAGTCTGTTATTACTTCATTCTTATGGATTTAATTGTGCCAACACTTTTATTTTGTCCCTAAATGTGTTTTTTGTAAGTAACACTTGATTTTGTGAATTGTGTTGAAGGATATTTGAAGAGATTGTCTTTTTTGACAGTGCATTACATGACCAAATATTATTTTTACAGTTTGTTTTGGAGTTCTATTGTATTTTATTTTAAACAAATTTGTGCCATATGTGGCCTGCCATGAATTGTGTTTGCAGCCTTAGTGCCAAGGGGTTTCTGTTATAACAACCCAAATTAGTGACCAAGAATATTCACTCTCTATGTTTCCATTTATGTGAATTGTGCAGCACAAACTGACTTTGTTGGTGAAAATGTCTAATCTCATTTGAAGGAGAGATGCACAAATAAATCATCAGTAATGTAACACTACAGATGTTTATTCTTTCTTTTAGTTATTTAACATGTTTGAGAACAAAAAAAAGTCATTTGTATTTTCTGCATAATTAATGTTTACAACATCAGTTGCCTTGTATTTTCAGGAAATGCTCATCCATTGCTGTGCATAATAAATAAACTTTCTTATACATCTGCAGCCTTTGTCCTTTCATCTGACACCGCTTATGGGTGCTGTGACCGTTAAAATGAATGTATAGTAGCAATGTGTAAGGTAAGATAGCCTATTGTTTCGATTCTTGTTAATTCAATAAATCATTGTTTGTGTAACATGTTTCTGATTAGTTTGCGTACCTGAACGATTATAGACCTTCATTAAGTAGGTAGCGTTGGAATACAGCAAAGTGAGGAAGACGAAAATAAAAAACTACACAACTACAATAAAAGCCCTTCACATATTTCTCCAGAAATTAGCTGTTGTTGGAATTCTGTGACTGCAAGTTTCACAAGAATGACTAATATTAAGGTTTTTAAATGTAAATGATTGCTTGTTTAAATGTTTACAATATTATTCTCGTGTTATTATTCTGCATCTCCCAAAGTCGTCTGCATATTATGAAAATAGCTTTTAAATTATAGACCATTATAGATTGGCTCAAGACCACACAAGAACTTGGAGTTGCATGCACTTTGAATGTTGTTCTGTACACCAAACTGAAAATCATTTTGATACACAACCCACATACATGTACCTTCATTATCAAAGGCTTTCATAAATGTTATTTGAGGTTCATTTGCATCAACAGTTGTTTTCTGCAGCAATGCTTTAGAATGTTGGTCAAATCAAGTTATCATCATTATGACAAATAGGCTATTGATGTCTAACCTCTAAACAAATTAAAGCTCAGTTGTCATCCTTCTCAAGTGAACACAAAGACACATTGTGTTCAAAGCAAGGTTCAACTATAGTGATGTTATACTTAGTTTGTGCAATACATTTTGATAGTGTGTTATTTTTAATAATAATTATTATTATTTTTCCTCACCTTACAACCTGCAGTGAAGCAGTTTGGTTTGGCTGTCACCAAGGGAGTTCAAATACAAAATCTGTATTTCCTTGGGATATATAATCTGTCAAGATATAGGATCATGAATTAATGACTCTTGATTTAAGCCTTTGTAGTTTACAGGTAAGGGTGAAAAGGAGGAGTGTCCAGTAGTCAGTCTCATTAACTGACCCCACCAGCAAGGTCTTTGTCTAACATATGTCTATGGATCCATCTACAGGTATAAATATGGTGGTCCAATAAAAGATTACCAAATTATCTGAGAACATGAAAATTACTTACATGGCAATGGCATCAGGATTTGTATTTTTTTTTACCCTTTTCATTGAACTGGCCTTCCTGTTCCAAATATTTGTAGATTGACATCCAGGATAAACGCCATGCCTGCATAATTTTTGACAAGGCAGATCATGTACGCATTGATGACTTGTGGTCAAGAAGAATGATTACAGACTTGCAAGGTAGAACTGTATGCCTACAGAATATTTAACAGAGTACAGTCAGCAACAACATGACAATGAACTATAAGATATCTTATGAACGTGCATTATAACTGCATTACAAACCTCACTTTCAAGTTTCTCCCCAGGTTTGAGGCATTCCAAATCCCATGTAAAGATCTTGTATGGGCCAACTTTACTGCAAAGTCTCCCACTCATATATCTTGCAACACTTCATAGAGATAGATAGATTGTTTTCATGTAAGAGAATACATACTGTACAACACATCTCTGAAGAACAGGGTGCTTGCAGGGGAAGCTGTATGGCCTGAGGCAGGACTGGAAGTAGGCTGGGGTGCAAGGCCAGTTAAAGGTGCAGTAAGTGATTTCTGAGAATCATTGTTGAACACTGTTGATATCTGAAATTAACTCAACACCCCCTACATACAAACACACCCCTCCCTTCACTGCACCACACACAAAATGCACGAACACGCAATGCAAGAGTGGATGTCAATTTGTCATAGCAGAAGCGAAGCAAAGAAAAATAAAGAGATGACAAATGAACGACAAGGAAGAACAAAAAATGAACATACAGTACATGGAGTATATACAAGCAAGAGTTCGTTGTTAGTAGCCAGCAGCACAGCAGCTCCAGATAAACGATGACACTCAAAATCAATGTTACTCACGTATGGAGCAGAAACAACGCAACCTCAGTGTCCAATTTCAAGCCTTCCCGCTTAGGTCTCTCCAGTGCTGGAAAGCTTTTCTTAATGTGGGCCCTAAAGCTCTTGCCTGATCATAACCCTTCTTTTTCCAGTGATATTTCTCTGACCATTTCTCTTTTGTAATGTCTCTCAGCCATCTCTCTTTCAATAGTCCTTCTTCAAATCTCCCTCTTGCTCACTCTCTCTCCTCCCCCATCATGAGTGTATAAGCCCCCTACTTCTGATTGGCTGCAAGTTTGTTGTGGTGCTCAGTCTGATCCACTTTCAAAAGCTTTTTTTGTTGTGAAATTGCTGACCTGAGTAGACTGGGTGGCAGGACTGGAGGCAGGCATCATAAATTGACTTTAGAAGATGGTGGGCCAGCAGGTGTTTGATTAAAAAGAACAGAACACTATGTTCCAGGATGGAATCTGACATGAGGGATGCATGGAAATGTGCACTGCAGGTATAGTGGTACATGCTGCAGGGAAAGGTGTGTGGCAGGGTGACACAATGGAGGGAATGCATGAATCCAAGAGGTACTTGCAAAGCAGGTGCTTGAGGGACTTGTGGAGAGGAACACTTGGGAACTTTTGGAGGATGGTCCTCCAAAAGTTGAATTAAATGGTCTATGTTGATTTTTTTAATTTGTTTCTCTTTGTCATCCACCACCACATCAATGGATTACCACTTAACTTGTATAACTGTATATGGAACCAAATAATCCGGATCCGCTGGCCAAATAGTTGGGCGTGGCCAAAGCCAGTTAAAGTACTTAATCTAGGCATTTGCTAATAGTTGTTAGAAGAAGCATTAGAACAACAGGAGAGAACATCAGTTTGTGAGTGTTTACTTTCTCATTTGATTTTAGCGCGGCTCTTCGTTACTGTGCTTACCCTGCGTAAAAACGCGCGTGTGTTTGTTTGTGTGTCGTGACTGAGTTTCGCTGGCCAAATAGTTGGGCGTGGCCTGCTGTATTCATTAACAGGGTATTAGGTGTGTATAAAACTGGTTAGTGCACCGCGGCAGCGGTCGCGGCTGCCCTCGTGAGAAGCCCTCATCGTGTGAAGACCAAAGAGTGTAAAGACCAGCGACTCTACCTGTGCGACTCCACCGAGCAAGGACACCGACAAAGCACTTGAGTATTAAATTCTTTTTGTTTATTTATTGTTGTTTCCTTTCTCTTCTACACACTTTTCTTTGGATCTTTCTGTTTGTAAGCTCCTTTTCACTATGCGTTTTCAAATCTCTACTATTACTAACATACGTAAATCAAACGTCACACGTCAGAGGCGGTGCAATCCTAACAATCTCCATACCCTTCCGGTGTCTTCTAATACTTTATTCTCTCTTCCTATTGGTCTCTGGAACTGCCAGTCCGCTGTTAACAAAGCTGATTTCATTACATCTTTTTCAAGTCATTCAGGTCTCAGTCTATTGGCCCTGACTAAGACCTGGATCAGACCAGAGGACACTGTCACACCTGCTGCCCTCTCCACTAACTTCACTTTCTCACACACCCCCCGTCTGACCGGAAGGGGTGGTGGTACTGGTCTGCTCATCTCAAATGACTGGAAATTTGATCCTTTACCACCTCTATTTGACAACAGCTCATTTGAATCACATTCAATTACCATCACTAGTCCTATAAAAATCCATTTTGTAGTTGTATATCGTCCCCCAGGTCAACTTGGCAGTTTCTTGGAGGAGCTTGATGTGCTACTCTCATCCTTCCCTGAAGATGGTACTCCTCTT